CCCACTTCTTTTTTTGAGATGCGCCGTGTCTTCTGGCCGGACGAGACGGAAGGCAGATCGGGGGGTGGAGACGTGAGCTTGCATGGCTGCAAGGGGCCTTTATGTGGCCCGCTGCACCCACAACCCGCGGTCTCGCTGGTAAAGGTGCACCACGTCGTCGTGATGCGAGCGCGGGAAACAGAGAAGTGAGGGCCAGTTGCAGTGTGAATCATGGCGCAGAGCAAGGAGTGCATCGCACATCCTTACCGTCCTCGCCAACAACAACAACAACAACAACACACACACACACAGACACACACACACATACACATACACCTTGAATGCAATTGTGTGTTGTGCACATGGTTGAGCTTGCTCACCTTGCCAGGAAAGCCGTAGACGTGTGTGCTCTGGTCGCAGATAAACGGGCGAACTGTTGGATACTCCCGAATCAGGCGCATGGTTGGCATGACGTCGCGAAACGACTGCAGGCGCTTGAGGATGTCGCCGCAGGTGAGGGTGGCTGGGTCAAAGTTGTCCAGCGTCACAGCGAGCAGCTTCGACTTGTCTGGCAGGAACACGCGGACGACGACCTGCGTCACCACTTGCAGGCAGTCCCTGTGCCCGACGAGGGAGGACCGTGACTCAACTGTGCTGACCACCTTCACATCAAGGTCACCCAAGACTGCAGTCTCGGACACCAGCTCGCCCAGGAAGCGGAACTCCTTGATGACCAGCCCAACGGCCAGCTTGTCATCAAAGTATGGCAAGCCCTGCAGCAGGGGCAAGTGTGGATGGAACACGACAAGGCTGTGAGTGGGATGGGTGTTGGATGTCTGTGGCATGGGTGTGTTTCCCAGCAGGCCATGAATGTGTACAGTTGCGCCTTCACGCGCACACACGAACGCATACACATGAACATTCACCCAGCCACGTACACTTGCACATACTTCACACACATGTACAACAAACACACACACACACACACTCTCTCTCTCTCTCTATCTATCTATCTATCTCTCTCTCTTCACACACACGCGTACCTTCTCCAGGGCGCTGCGCAAGTGCGCAATGGTGTCATTCATACTGAGGCTGAACCCAATGGTGGCGAGGAGTTGGTTGGAGTAGAGCAGGCGGTGCGGGTGCTCTGGATCAACGACCTTGGGCAGCTCATTCACCCATGCCTTCATGCCGCCTGGCCACGGCGGAATCACCAGCGGCTCGCCATGCTCGTCCAACACCTCAACCTCCACATCCATCGGCCCAAACGCAGCGTTTGTTCTTCCTCTCCTCCTCCTTTGTTGATATTGTTCTGGCTCTCGCTGGCTGCCTTGGCGTTGGAGCAAAGCAAGCGTGAGTGTGTGTGTGTGAGTGTTGCACGTTGTGCGTGAATGTCGTGTGCATTGAAAGGAGGACGCCCAAACTTTTGTGTGTCGCGCTGTCGCGCTCCTCGAGAACGCACTGTCGCGCCTGAATTCAGTCGCAGTTTCATTTGTGGTGTGCCTTTTATTTGCAATTTTTCTTTCGTGATATTTTATGTGGGAAACTCACACCTCGCAGAGAATTTGTGGGTGGCTTGCTTCAAGATTCAGTGCATGTGTGCGCTGTGCCTTTTTCCTTCCTTCCATCACCACCTGTCGCTGGCGAACAACCAACCATGAGCGCGGTAAGGGCGGATATGTGCGCTTGTGGTGCTGCTGTCAATGTTGCTGTGTATGCGTCTGTGATTGTATGTGTGTTGATGTCTGTGAATGTGTGTGTGTGTGTTTGTTTGTGGGTGCGTTGCGTACCTCGTGTTGCTGTTTGTACGTTATGTGGATGTGCCCGTCTTCGCTCTTCGCGCGCGTGCACTGTGCACTTGTGTACGCGTGAGGGAAGTTTTCAGCTGCTGCTGCAACCAACCACCGAACGAACGAGCCGCACCAGCAAGCGACCTCAGCCAACAGCCACAGCAAGCAGACAGCCACAGCGAGCCACAAGGCATCGATGCACAGGCGATGATTCAGCGGTTGATGATTGAGTGAGGTGTACCTGCTTGGCGGCTAGCGATGCGGGTGGTGATTTTTTCTGTTGCTGCTTATCATCAAAGTGTCGAGGATGGCCCAAGCACGTGTACCAGAGAGACGTACTTCTGCACCGTCACGTGCGTGGTCAGAACACTAGTGATGATGATGGTGCCACGAGACACACCGACACCACTCGCGCCCGATGCTGCTGCCGATGATGACAACAAAGTGCAAGGCGGTTGAGGAAGTGACAGAGATTGTGCACACGCATGCACAACGGCGTGTGCTTTCGACCAGACACCGATCACAGCGTCGTTGCGCGTGGGTGAGGGTGTCAGTGCACGCACAACCCCCTCCCCCCCCTCTTCTACAACTCTAGCACTTGAATCAGCAGCAGCAGTCAGCCGATGATTTTTTACCTGCCAGACCAGCTGTTGTATCAGTGTCCTATGTGTCGCATGTCCACCTCATTCAAACATGCACGAACGTCGGCGCTGTCGAAGAATACTGGTTCTCACGCTGTTGCCCACCTGCTTCCACACAACCCCTGCTTTCTCTTGCTCTCTTCCCTTGTTTCAAATGTGTTCTTCTCCTTTGTTTGCTGTTCCCCCTCGCCCCTCCTTTTCTCTCTCTTTCTCTCTTTCTCGTTCTCTCCGTCCCTCTCCTTTTCGAAACACACAGCACAAGCAAGGCGTCGAGGACACGAAGCACCACCGCATTCGTATGACCCTCACCTCTTCTTTCCCCAAGAAGCTCGAGAAGGTGTGCGCCGAGATTCTCGGTAACGCCAAGGGCAAGAACATCAACGTCAAGGGCCCCGTCCGCATGCCCACCCGCGTAAGTCTGCTTCGCTGCTGCTCCCGTTTGCAGGACGTGTGGTGATGTCCTGGGCTTGCTGCTTGTTAGCGCTTGTGTTGCAGCTGAACTAGCCCATTTATGGTGGTGTTTATGTAGAGGCACGGCTGTTGTGGCCACTGCTCTATTGGAGTGGCTGTGGTTGTTTTGCCTTGTCGGTTCTTGATTGCCGAACCCAGCAAGCACACACAACACAATGCTTGCGTATCCCCCCCCCTCCAACACACACACACACACACACACACACACACCATGCATACATTCTTTGGCCATGTAATTCACGCCTTTTGTCGCCTTGGCACCCCTGCCGCTTGTGCTGCCTGTAACTTTTGATGTGCACAGAACCTCAAGATCACGACCCGTAAGACCCCTTGCGGTGAGGGTTCCAAGACCTGGGACCGCTACTCTCTGCGTATCCACAAGCGCCTGATCGACTTTGTTGCGACCAGCGCTCACGTGCGCGACATCACTCACATCAACATTGACCCCGATGTCAACTTCGAGGTCACCATTGCGTCGTAGACGGCCTGTTGCATGTGTGAGACCGCCACCATAACCATGTGCGCGGCTGTGTGGTGGTGGTTGTGTGGTTGTTGATTGGTTGTTCCTTCTGCACGGTTCATGTCGGTACAGATTAAACCCTTCAAGGTGGCTTTCAACGCGGACGAGACTTTTTGTGTGGGTGTGCGTGCGCGTGTGCGTGCTTTACCAACGCGATGTTTGAGGAAGTAGGTTCATTCACTTTCACGAGAGAGGGAGAAACAAGGGCAAGGAGATCAAGAAGGGAGGGGATGTGACAACTTGACAAAAGACGCCACGTGAACCACCGCCTGCACCGAATGTAAAGGTGCACACAACGCATACACACACGGACGTCTACAAGACATATTCCAGTTCGCGGCGGCGGTATGAGCGCTTGTTCTCGTCATCAAACGAGGGATAATACGCAACAAGGGCGTCCTGGCAGCCAATGTAGAGCGTGTTGTAGATTTTCCAGTACACTTGCCGCACCTGCCAAAAGTTGGGGATGAAGGGAGAGGACGTGAGTGAAGAAGAGAGGAGCAGAAACAGGACGGGTGTAGACGGGGGACGACGGGGGACGGACAGGGCTGCGTGTCCACACGAACTGGGTCATGATGCGCAACTGACGCACACACACACACACACACACACACACACACACACACACACACACACACACACACACACACACACACACACACACACACCACACACACCACACACACCACACACACCACACACACACACATTCACACCTTTCTTGCTGGGTGAAACAGGCCCTGGAGTGTGTATGAGAGGATGCGGGATGGGCCGAGCGCAACGCGAAGGCCACCAATTGCATCCATCACAGCGTTGATCACGTGCGGCGACGTCTGTGCACACGCAAAACAATACAGCATCCACCGTCCATGTGTGTCAGGTAGGTGTGGGTGAGCGCCCGCAGTCGTCACATGATTAAGGTGCTGCAGTGTGCATGCGCAGACGCTGTTTCGTCGACAAAACAAGCACTTCTAAACAACGATCACGTTTTTGGAACACAGGTGAGCCACAAGGCAACCAACAAAAACAACAGTGACCACGGCGCCTACGTCGCATACACACCTCGAAGATGTTGGGCCAGACAAAGTTGAGGAGATGCGTGAGCGCATCCTCATTGCCAAAGCCATACACGCCGAGCGACATGTGCTTGATGGCCGTGCAAGCAGTCTGCAATGCAGTGATGATGGAGGTGGTGTGAGCGGCGTCGCGGCAAGGTGAGGATATTGGCACGTGTTTCAAACGCAGCCAACGACAACAAACAAGTATGTGACAAAGTGGCAACTCTTCAGGGCGAAACGGCTCGGACACGCACGCACACATCTGCGTACAACGCACACGCATGCACACATATGCACTCATACACACACACACATATGCACACACGCACGCACACACACATACACACATACACGCACGCACACGCACACATACATACACCCACACACGCACGCACACACACACATACATGCAAGGAAACAAACGCACCTGTCTGTGCACGGCGTCGCGGTCCATGAGGGCGTCCTGCAGGAGCGGTGTGACGGCATAGATGTAGTCCTTGCCCATCTCACCAATGTACTCAAACAGGAACGACAGCGACTTGAGCACGCCATTCTGTAAACGATCACATGGAGAGGGAGAGAGGGAGAGAGAGAGAGAGAGAGAGAGAGAGAGAGAGAGAGAGTGTGTGTGTGTGTGTGTGTGTGTGTGTGTGTGTGTGTGTGTGAGTGAGTGAGTGAGTGAGTGAGTGAGTGAGTGAGTGAGTGAGTGAGTGAGAGTGAGAGAGTGAGAGAGAGAGTGAGAGTGAGAGAGAGTGAGTGAGTGAGTGAGAGTGAGAGAGTGAGAGAGAGGCACATGCATATGCACATGCACATTGGGTTTGTTCGTAGGTGAGCGCACGTTTTCAGTCAGACACAATAAGACACGCACATACACAAGGACGCACAGGCATGAACATACACGCACGCACACGCAAACACGTACACAAATGAAAAGACACGCACATGCACACACGCACCTGCACGTTGAGCTCAGGGACGCGGTATTCGTTCATCAGACCAGGGAGGACGGTAAAAGGGGAGCACGTCTCGGCAACAATGGCGATGGCCACAGTTGTGCACACGCGCAGCTGTCGCTCCTGCACTTTGAGGTTGTTGAGCAGGGTTGCCAGCACATCCTGGGGGCCAATGGCCTTGGCAATGTAGCCAAACGTGTTGACGGTTGCGCGCCGAATTGCCTTCTTGTGCGCCTTCAGCAACTCCAGCAACTGCAGGCAGCAGAAACGCACACGCGTCGCGACGGGCAAGTATCGGTGTGAGCAAAAATAATTGAATTCGCATTCGCAAGAACACACTGCATCGTTCACGTTCGCGCGCGCATTACAAGCTGCAACACTACACAGGACGACACACTACCACACACGCGCACACGCACACAAACACACAAACACACAAACACCCAAACACACGCACACATTGAACGCACCTCGAAGCAGATGCGCATCCACTCCTTTGGAGAGACGTATTCGGGGCCGCGATCGGCAATGCGGCCCACGAGGTCAATGCAGTTCTCCTGCACCTTCTCGTGCCTGTTCTTCAGGATGGGCGTCAGGCGCGGCAGCAGGTCCTTCACGGGCGGCTGCATGCGCTCCATACCTGATGTGGCAACGGTGGTGGTGGTGGTGGTGGTGGTGTCAAGTCCAAGAGCGAGGTGGGTTGTTAGAACATGAGTGATGCACAACAGGGTGAGCTTGGATTGGATGAGACACAATGTGCACACATGTGTCCACCACCTTCCGTCCACTTTTCCGTCCACTTCCAACGACCCACACAAGCACACGCAAGCACACGCAAGCACACGCAAGCGCTCAAACACACGCAAGAACACACAAGAACACGCAAAAGCGCTCAAGCACACGCAAGCACACAATACACAACGCAAGCACACAATACACAACCCACGCACACACGTGCACATGTACAATGTAAAATGACAGGCCTGTACAAGACACACCACAACCACGTGATGCTACGCACCAATGACGTTGACGAGGGACTTGAGGGCGCCAAGGATGGAGCCAAGCACCTCTGGATACTCTTCACCAAGGTACTCGTACAGCACAACGCCCAGGTTGTTCATCAGCTTAATCTCTCCGCAGTCGTTCATCACCACCGCAATGCGCGACACGAGGTCGGCCGCTTGTTGGCGCACCTGACGCACGATGTGTGGACACATGTGAGATGTGGTGTCGCTTTGTGTTTGGGGGCGGGGGATTGGCATATCACACATTAAATGCTGGCGAACGCGGCAGCGTGCAGCTTGAACGTGGACCACAGCCCATCGCACCATCACAGCAACACACAAGTAGAACAGTATCAAACGCAACACAAGTAAAGCAGCAGAAACACATGAACGCAGAAGCACGCAACAAAGCACGCAACAAAGCACTAACAGCAACGCACCTTTGCAGATTTGTTGTTGAGGCGCCAGAGGATGGTACCGCAGATCTGTGGGAGGTAGTCGCGCGTGCGCTTCCCAAGAGCGTTGACGACGCTGCCAAAGCCGTTGAGGAGCACATCGTCCTCCGTCGTCTGCTCCTGGAAGGCAAACAGCATGCTCTCCATCAGCTGCCGCTCAAGCTCCTTGTCAATGTCCGCCGCCCCAAGGTTGCGCAGAATCTGCACAGACAGCCAGACAGAGATAGACAGCCAGACAGCCAGACAAATAGACGGACAGACAGCCAGACAGCCAGCCAGCCAGCCAGCCAGACAGACAGACAGAGACAGACACAGATATGGAGACATAGAGAGACGGAGCAACCGCAGAAAGAAGAGCAAGCAAGGAGACAAACAAACATGGTGAGATGCCCGTCATTCTGACAATCAATGTGGCCAGTGCCGAGCCCAAGCATAAAATGCAGCACCCACGAGCACAGATCACAAGATAGTACAAAAGCAACAAGCAATCCCCCTCCCCTCCCCCCCCCCACACACACACAGCAACACAACACGCCCTGAAGGGTGAATCCAAGCGTACCTTGTCGATTGCGTCGACGACCATCTTACGATAGCCCTCGTTCTCGTCATTGAGGTCGTTGACAAGGCGAGACACCATCTCAGGCGCGCCAACCTTGTTGGCCAGCTCCACCGTCGTCTCCACAAGCTGCGCGTAGTTGCGGCGGTCCAGCGACATGCGCACGTTCCAGAAATGCTTGAAAAAGTGCGGCAGAATTTCGTCCCGGATGTACGCGGCGTCCACGCCGTCGGTTCCGCAACACTGCTTCACAACCTGCACGCCAGTGTGTTGTGTTTGGGTGAGGATGAAGGTGGGGGAGACGGAGATGGAGAAGTTGAGTGATGGTGGTGGCCACAACCGTGAGTATTTTGTGCGATTGTGACGGTTTGTGATTATTGGTGATTGGTGTGACTCAGGAAGAGTGTAGGTGAGGACGCGAAGACATGCCCTCCAATAGCAATGGCATCACATGCGACGCTCTGTGCTCGCATACACGACGACACGTTCTCATGTGCCACACGTCAACAACAACGACAACAAGACCACGACAAGACCGTACCTTAAGCACAATCTTCTTCATCTCGTCATCCGGGGATTGGAATTCTCGGATCAAAACGCCCATCACTTCCCTGGGTCAGCACGACCAAAGCACACGAAACGGTGAGGGGAGTGGGCGTGAGAAACAAAGCAACAGTAGAGTAGAATCCATGAAACGGCTCAAGGAACGAGGTCTCGCGCTCGACCAAACACACACACACACACACGCACACACACACACGCACACACAACAGCTCGCAAACGCCCCCTATCACCTGCCCTCCCCCCCGCCCCGGGAGCCAACGTTGCTGGCACCACCCGACCTTGTGTAGTAGTTTGCTGCGTCCGGGTCCATGAGTGGGATGATGAAGCCAATCGCCTTGAGAAACGCGGCGAGGGCCTTGGAGCGCTGCTGGCTGATGCCGTGGTACAGCGGCAGCAGGACCTGATCAAAGGACTCAATGCCGTACGGCGCAGCCGACTCTGCCAGCGCAGCGAGGGCGAGCGCGGTGATGGTCTTGACCTTGGGCTCGTTGTCCTGCAGGCCGTGCTCCACAATCTTGACCAGGTTGCGCAGGTGCGGCAGCACAGCACAGCCCATGAGCACCGCAATCTGCTGCACAATCTTGATGCCCGTGTGGCGCGCCTGCCACGACTTCTTGGACCGGCACACGGCCTTGAGGAAGGGCAGCAGCGAGGGAATGCCGAGCGCAGAGGCCACCACCGCAAACGCGCGCGCAGTGATGTTGCGCACGTACTCATCCACGTTGTCAATGTCTGGACGCATGACGGAGATCATGCTGGCGAGGCCGGCGGCCTTTGCCAGGTTGGAGATGATCTCGCGGCCCTCAACGCGCGCATAGTAGTCCTCGTCAATCAGCAGCGGCTCAATCACCACCAGGATCTTGTGCACATACGGGCGCACCAGGTCGTCGAGCTTGTACAGGATGCGGTCAATGACCTTCACCAGAAAGTGGCGCTCCTGGTCCTCCAGTGACGGCGACATGAGCAGTGGCAGAATCTGGTTGAACAGCGGGCCGGGCCCAAACTCGCGCGCCTTGTCTGTGATCTGCCGCAGCGCCGTCTTGCGCATGGGCGGCGTGCCGTTCTTGATGCGCAGCAGCAGCTTCATAATCGCCCGCTCCTTGCGCGCGTCGGCGTCGAGCTGGCCCTCGTCCACGTCCTGCATCAGCTTGGCAAAGTGGGCCTCGTCCTCGGGCTTGAGCGACGGCAGCGACTCGTCGGCGAGCGTGGGCAGACCCAGGTCGCTTGCCTTGGCCGCCTTGTCCTCCAGCGGGATGCTGAACCCGGCCATGCCACTCATGGGCGTGGGCGTCGAGTAGATGCGCCGCGACGGCGTGCGGATGGGCTGGTACGACGCCGGCGGCTCCAGGATCTTGAACCCTTCTGTCGGCAGCATCATGTCGAGGTCCTCATCGGAGAGCGGGCGGTTGCGCTCGTCCATGTCCTTCTCCCACCGCACGCGCTGCCGCTGGTCGGGGGTCATCGCCCCCATCTGGCCCGGCGTTGGCGTGGCCATGCCCATGGCCATGGGCGTGCTCATTGCAGCAAAATTTGGCGTGGCGGCGGTGGCTGCGCCCATGGCGTCCTTTGGCGTCTCGTCCCACCTGCTCCTGCGGCGACCCGTGCCGGCAGCGGCTGGCGTCTGGTCCCACCGCGACTTCTTGCGTGCAGGAGTGCCCTCGTCATCCCACCGGGACGCGCCCGCGCCGCTGCCACTCTCGGGCCGCACAGGCGTTGCATCCCATCGCGACGCCATGCCTGTACCGGAGGACGTCGACGCGGTGGTCACGCCGGAATCGGGCGTTGCCTGCGGCTGCTCTTTCTGAGCTTCCTGTCGTTGTTGCTGTTGCTGTTGCTGTTGCTGCTGCTGCTGCTGTTCTTCTTCCTTCTTCTTCTCTTCTTCCTCGCGCTGCTTCTGTTGGATCTTGCGCATGACAAGCTTCTGCTCGTTCTCAACCATGGAGTCCTGCATGACGTCTGCGTATGTGCGGTCGTGCGGGCGTGGGGTTGCGTCGGCAGCAAACGGGTCTGCGCGCTCGGGCGAGATCATGCGGTTGAAGCGCTGCAGCTGGTAGTCGGACTCGCGGTCGCGGATGGTCTTCTTCTTGCTGTCAGCAAAGGGGTCCTGCTCCTCGCCCTGCAGGCGAACGCTGTCCACCAGCCGCTGCACAGCGCCAGTGGATCTGCTGGCGCGTTCAAAGTTGGACGCGTCGTCGTCGTCGGCATCCTCGTCCATGGTGGAGATGGATGTGGCAAAGCTCTGCGACCCTGCCACATCGCCGTCGTAGCCACCTGCGGAGGCCATGCTCACGCGGTTGGCATTGTCAGCGCTCTGCGCGGCTTGGGCGCGGCTGGCTTGCATCCGCGCAACCTCATCCTCGATTTCTGGTGGTGGTGGTGGTGGTGGTGTGGTGGTGAGCATGGCCATGGCGGCAGGTGGTTGTTGTGCGTTGTTGTGCGTTGTTGTTATGTGTGGGTGTGTGTTCGTGTGGTTGTGGTTGTGTGGGAGTTGTGACATGTGAGGTGTGTGACAAGCGACGTGATTGTGTCTGGCGAGCACAGCACACAAGAACCAAGACACGAGGTTTGGCTACGCCACAGTGTACAACGAACAAAACCCATGGGCAAGAGAGCCGCTTTCAAACCAAGGCAAGAGAAAAGGCAAGAGACAAGCCCAGAGACAAGGCAAGAGGGAAGCAGCGCACGTTCGCACAGCACACACACACACACACACACACACACACACTCACTCACCATCACGAGTCTTGGCGATGGACGACATGGTGGCGGTGGTGTTTGGTTGTCTTGTGTGCCGCGGTCGTGTTCACCGGTGGATATGCAGAACACCGCTCGTCTAAATGCGCATTCGGCAGGAAACCTTGTGCGAAACATACATTTTGAGACCATTTTATGCTGTCGTATGTCGTAATCACAGTCATCAATCACAATCATCAACCAACAACAACGCACAACATGGAGGCTGTGGTGGTGCCGCTGTTGTCGGACAACTATGGCTACTTGCTGGTGGACAAGGCCACACGAGAAGCAGCCGCCATTGACCCTGTGGAGCCCAAGAAG